GAACCTATAAAATTATCTGCTGTCCTGAAAAAAAAAGTACAGTTCCTTGCAGTCCTCACTGCTTTCAAGATCCATCTCATTTACGCTGTGCGAATAGCTGTTGAGCTCTGAAATTGATCGCACATCAATAATTTCTTTAGACTCTCCCCATTCTTAATGAGATATGGCTCCAGGACGTATTAAGGCGCTGACTATGATGTGTCAAAGTTTGAAATTTCAGAAGAAAAGCCTTGTTTTATATTTTGAATTGAGCATCAAGATGCTTTCTTTCTGCCTGCCCAACATCCCAAGGAGATTGTTCAACATTTGCTATTGATCCATTGTTGGATCTTCCTTAACACATCAACAAAAATTTCAATCTTGTTTAGCACAATGTACTTAATGTCAAGATTCAAATGTCACGGTAACGCTGTCAATAAAGAAGACTTTTAATTTCCTCTTTCGTATCTCTCAACGTCCTTCGCAGCCAAATTCAGTGTAAGTACACAATAAAGCAGATAGTTTCAAAATATTTCTTCAGAGTAAGTATCCTACATTTTTTTCAATAAAAGTACTGGCTTGATTAACATGATTGATTTTCTGAAACGATAAAGACATTCTTTCGATAGAAACTGCAATTTTAACTACTAATCTTAACTTTCAGCAGTATTCTGATGTATGTGAAGAGGACACATGTCCACCACTTTCTCAACTTCAAAGTTGTTAAGTGTGTATTGAAAAATGTGGCAGGTTGAAAAGCCTTCCTGAACCTCAGTACTTAGGTAGCTTGGATAATGGAGGTAATGGCCGTGATTTTCATCGTCAGTAGGGTAGCAGGAATCAGGAAAAATTCTTTATTTTTGCCTGTGCACCTCAGGGGAAGAAGTGCCAGGTACAATGCAATTTCCAGGTACAAAAATGCCCTCCAACACCTAGGCCTAGCATCACCTTACCTTCCAAATGCTCCCAAAGCCCCATTCATTTCACTCTGTCAAAATATGGCCCACCACCCATGCACATGTGCCCATATGCTCCCCAGGCCAATGAAAGCCACTGAAGCAATTTCCATAGCTCCTTATGCACTCTCTGTCAGTCTATGGTGCTTTGAGTTTCTCAATTACTGCAGCCAATATGCTTGTTGCAAAAACCTTCTGGGACATAAATTCCCCATTTACCTTATACTATTCAATTTGAGGTTTCTACGAGGGTAGTTTCACTTGTAGTTTGTGCCCTTTATTATCCTTAAAATCCAATGCTTATCATTTAGTGTTAGTCTTGAACTTGCCATTATGATACCTTCACTGTGATGTGATTTCCCCTTCCTGTTCTTCTAGCTATAGTCCAATGATCATGGACACGTGACACTAGGAAAACTTTTATCTGAGGATTTGTTGACCTTATTCTTTCTAAAAACAAATACTTCTCATTTTCCCAAATAACACACTGATAATAGATTGCATTTGGCACCGGGTAAATTAATATCACAAGTTCAATGGGGCATTGTGACATCAGTTCTGCTTGAAATTCTTCCCTTTTCTTTCATATTCTAGAAATTTATTACAGCTGTGATGGCTGCTAAATGAAATCTCATGCTACACAGTAATTGTTGGGAAAATTCAAATTTTAAGGGACCCCAATTTCCAGCAAGAATTATGTTGTTTCTGTGCTTGCTACAGTTTACTCCGTGTATTGCTTTGAGAAAGGTGGATATTTGTGTATTGGTAACGTGTTCCACATGGATAGCATTTTGGCTGCCTGTCTACATTTCTGAATCTTGTATATGGGCATGGACAGTTACAGTATTTTTTAGAATTCTGAATACGTTTGTGGTTCCTAAATGTTTACTGTTTTACAGGGTATACTGCCTTGAGAAAATAGTTATAACTCTATTGTAATCGTAGCTATCTCACAACAAATGGGCAGAATTGAGAAACCAGCTAGGTAAAATGTTAAAGTAATAACTTTTTTCTGATTCAGTATCATCAGACTGAATGTGTGAACAATGTACAAAAGCATCATTTGAACAAGGATTTTGTGTAATCCCATTTATTAAAAGCACTCTTGTCTATGGAACCTAATAACAAGGTAAATGAATATACTGCCTTAATGTGCTGCAATAAGGGACAAATGAGAGCTTGCTAGACTACCGTCTTCCTCTGTTCACAAACTAAGGTGCTAATCACTGCCAAGAGCTGTAGCCAGAAGATAGCAAAGTAAAAGTCAGATCTCATGATAATGTGATGTAGCAAAAGCCAGTTATAGAACATCACCAAAGAATGACTTTCATGGAGATAGAATAATCACTTTAATAACAAACAGATATCAAGAACAAAATAAATAATTCATGCAACTGAATCATTCATACTCTTCTAATCAGTTTAAAATTTAATAATGAAATACTTAATATGAATTGTGGCATCATCGTTGCAGTTTCTTCATGACATTCTCTGTTTTTCAATTTAGACCAGCTATATCCTGGTCAATGATTTAAAGTAATACCCTGATGCAGGTAGTTAACCACATAGCTTCAGTGAGAAATTTATGCTGTTCACAGAGCTGCTGGGTCAATTGCTTAAATTTTATTAAATTCAGGTGAATGTTATAAGTCAGCCTTTTGGTCCCCTTTGAATATGAGACAGCACGCCTCTCCTCCTTTCCAACTTCTTCACACTGACCACTAGTGTAGCATGTGAAAATTTACTCACTCCCATGTTCCACCATTCTTCTCTCATTCGCAAATCGATAGAGCTCACAAAGCACTTTAATACCCGTCCCAGTGAAAACGTACTTCTGTTTTGACCAGCGCTGGTTAGCTTTAAGTAGTAACAGCTACTCACATTGGCCTTGTGCTGATGTGTGTAGCAGTTTATTGCTGGCCGCATGTAGAAACCATGTAACTGAACAGGCAGCATGAACGTGGCCTACTGGTGCCACTGAGGCTTGAGAACTGCTGACACTCTGATTGCACTGGTAGCAACAGTGGTATGAGGATGATAGGTTCCCAGGTCAATTAGGAGGACAAATATTTTACATCTGTCTTCACAGTGGAAGACAGAAAAGCATCCCAAGAATAGTACAAAAATTTAACCGACAAAAGGGAGTGAGGAACTTAAAACAGTCATGAACGTGGGAAAAAAATAGCACTCGGAAAAATAATCAGACTAAAGATTGACAAATCCCCTGGCCTGAATCTGCAGGGTCTTAAGAGAAAGTGGATATGTTGTTGTAAACCTCCAAAATTCCCTTGATTCTGAAAATATCTCATCAAGTTGGAAGACCTCTATTCCAGATTTGGAGGGGAGGGATGGGGGAGAGCAGTGGTGTGTGGAGGGGGGGACAGAATGCAGATAACTATAGGCAAGTTTTCCTAATAACTATTATTAGAAAATGTAAGGATTTGTAGTTAAGGATGTAATAACAGGACTTTTGGAAAATCACAATACGAGCATATGGAGTCAACATGCTTTTGTGAAAGAGAACTTATGTTTCTCAAGTTTTGGTCAGCGAATTGCCTGTTTTTCTTTAATTCTCCAAGTTCCACTCCCCTCAGGATACTTCAATCCAATCAGTACACTCCAAGTGTTAATCTCCATCCACAGCTTTTCAACCCTTACCTCTGCAGCCAATCATGCAGCACAGTTGAAAGCCTGCAACTGCCCTCATGTCTCAACCCTACTACCACTGCGAAGCTGGGTCAGGTGGAATAAATAGGCTTACAATAGGCAACAATGTAAGTAGCTCAAGGGGATAACTTACAGAAGTCTGAGGCTGGATAGGAATCTTGTACTTTAGCAGCTTGTGCTCAATACCCACATGATGGAGTGAGTGGAGAATGTCAGCTCTCAATTATCAATTCTTTATTATAATCATGTATTGACTCCGCTTCATAAATGGGAAGTTAAATTTCTTAGTTGGTAGAAATCATATACTTTACTTTGTCTTGTGCCATAACTCATTGAAAGATCTTTTATATTAATTAGTTAGCTTTACCAAATCTTGTTGAGTTTGTTCAAAGCTATATCAGGACTAAAACTGTTAACATGGTTACATAAAATTTACTTCTGTGCTATCATCATAAATAATTAATTTCATCTCATGCCACCATCATTAAAATAACAAAAAAAATGAGCTTCTTGCAAATATGATGAGACATTTAGTATGTACTGAATACTGGCCAGATCAATTTTAAGTCATATTTCCTTATGGATATACAAAACAAAATGTATTTCAATTTGGTACAAAAATAGATCTAAAATTTTAAATGAATCTGATGCGTTGTTTTTCTGGTCCTTCAAATACTGAACTGGCTCTATACTAACCACAGAAGGAAGACATTGATAAATAATGCCCTATCTTTAGATCAGAAATGTCACAAAACATTTAACCTACACAGAATTACTTTAAAGTATGATGACTGTGATTCTGTAGCCAAATCATGAAGAGTGAATAAAAAGTTGAAGAAGATTTGGGAAATGCTGTTTTAAACAAAACAAAAACTACAATCTGCAGATCAGGGACTATAAAGTACCACTACTGATTCAAGTGGGGCAAGGCTAAATATGGGTTAACAAGAATTGCTTATTTGTACTCATTCCCTGATCACCCAAATTTATCCATTCCAGATAGTTCATTGAAATAGACTAACATTTATTTTAAATAAGGACAATAAGCACCGACAATGAGTTGACAGACAGTATTGTCTCATGTGAATACTCAACATGGTTTTGTATACTGCTATGGTTCCTCTGTCACAACAACAGTTTGTGAATGTGTACTTGGAATTACAATAACACAAAAATATTTTCAAATACAGTTCTTAACCCATGGCAGACAGCTCATTGCAACATACCCATTAGCTGTGGAACTTCGACCTGAATTTGACTTTAAATTCCTACCCTGTAATTGCAGGGATGATTTAATGATGATAATATACCCATTTGTCATAAAGCATTTGTCATTTTCTGAAAGATTTCGTGAAATAGATGTGCCTCTAATAACATACTTGTATTTTCTTTTACCAGTCCAAGACATATGGGTGTACCTGGCAAGGCCAAGCACTTTCCTTCACAATAGATTTCGCTGCTGGATTTACCTGTGTTGATAGTAACACAAAGGTGAGGAAACAGTAAGTTCAGCATAACAGCATGCTGAAGTTACGGGGAAAGAACTGTAAGAGTAATGTTTCTGTTATTGAGCTCTGTTGTAGAGGGTATGGCTTACTGAATCAAACTCGTTTTATTATTATAGAACAGTCCCACTCAGAATAGTACTTGACATAGGAAATTTACCTTGTAGAATTCAAAAACAGACTTGAATTAACTTTTGACACAATTATAATGATGATGACTACAAACTGAAAGCATTGCAGACTTTATTGCAGAAGTTCAGATTGAAAAAAAATAGGTTTAAGGACAGAAAATTAGAGTCTTTCTGAGAGGGGTCAGGATTTAGATATGCCCTTTTGGGCTGTAATATTTAAATTGCATTTGCATTTACCAGCATTTGACATTCATCTCATTGAAATCAGTTAACAAAACAGAGGTTTTCGGTAGAATAAGGCTCTGGCTAGGTCCACTTTGTGTATGGTGCTGTATGTGTCACATTTTAGGTTCGGGATTGAGGTGCTTGAAAGAGATTCATTAGATTTTAGTTCAGTGATAAGGAAATTTAGAAACTGAGTGAGGTTGGAGAAACCAGGGCTATTCTCCAAAGAACAAAGGAGGTTGAGGAGTGATCACATTGAGGGTACAGGATAAAAGTGAATTAGGCAAAGAAAATCTGTTTCCGGTCATACAGGTATTGTACAGCACAGATTTAGGGTGTTGGATAAGAGATACAGGAAGTTGTCAGTATGAGCTTTTTGCATTGTATTATTTCTTGTGGTTCTCAGAAGTTCAAAATAATCATTGTTTTTTGAGTCATCAGGCTCATCTCCCAGCTATTAAATAAATTTGGCTCTTTCCTCACTCCTTTTTTTTCCACAGAATCTGTACAGTGTGGAAACAGGCCCTTCGACCCAACAAGTCCACACTGACCCTCAGAGCATCCCACCCAGACCTATTCCCCAAAAACCAAACTAATCTACACATCCCTGAACATTATGGACAATTTAGCATGGCCAATCCACCTAGCCTACACATCTTTGGAGTGTGGGAGGAAACCGGAGCACCCTGAGGAAACCCACACAGACACAGGGAGAATGTGCACACTCCACACAGACAATTGCCCGAGGGTGGAATCGAACCCAGGTTCCTGGTGCTGTGAGGCAGCAGTGCTAACCACTGAGCCACCGTGACACACCCAGTATATCTGAGCCCTCTAAGCACAATAGCCCCAGGAGTCACCCCACCAAATCTCCGAGGTCATTGTCTCCAGCATATGACGGGTGTCCTCCACACCAGCTGCAGAACACTGGGCTGCACTGAGACATAGTGGGATGGGCAGGAAGATGAAAGAAAACTTGTTGAGAGTACACTGGTGGCACGAATGGCATTTCACTGCAAATAAAGTCTGACGTTGGTTAAAAGATGTTCAGTGTGTCACTCTGTCTGTTTGCTTGTCTCCGTCGGCTGTCGCAATGTGCAGTCAGACATCAGTTCACGTGTACGATATTACGTGGGGCAATGCCTGATGTGAGAAGCTGCTGCCCCTTGTGTAGACCATGCAAATGTCACATTCAGAAATGGTCTGCAGCAACCAGACACCACTTGCTCAGGTGCCCAGATGTTGGTATCGCATCACTGGCCTCAGTCGCCATAGATTTTGCTCTCGCATGAAACGGTCAGCAGTGGTTGGTCCTGTGAGGTGCACAGTACACAAAGAGGCAATGCGTATGGTGTTGCCAGGGATTGGGAGGACACAGGTATGTGTTCCCTGTGGGTTTATTGTTGAAGGGTGTCACATTGTTGGGTTTTGCGGTCCCCTCCCTCGTCAGTCAAGGCACATACCTTGCCCACTTTGAGAGTGGGCCATTTTCTTTGATCTTATACTGTTGCAGTTTCCAGGATGATAGAAGGTGACAGTGAGTGTTCCTCAGAAAGTAATTTTCAGGCTTGTCATTTATGTGTTAGTGAGGCCTCAAAACCCCTTCCTCGTACCCTTCCCATGGGCTTTGCACTTCTCCAGCTCCCTACTCAACCATCTATATGTGCTTACACTTTTTTATTTACCCACCCTCTGCCCCCTCCCCCTTCTTTGCCAACCCCATTCTCTGGCATATGATAGGACCATGCCTGCTGTAGTTCTCCCTCTAGAAGCTGTGATACCATATTACAGATGAATTGCCCACTACATAAACCCATCCCCATCCATTATTTACTGTATCCTCCCTTTACCTATATAGTTGCCCCTTTTACAATTGTCACCTCTTTCTCCTCCCCACAAATCAATGTTTGCAGCTTCCAATTTCCACACATAAGTCTCTCAGTTTCCTTCTTGTAGTAGGAGCTCCCTCTTTCCCTCCATGCCTCTTACACCTCGCCCTTGTTTGACAGATAAAATGGATTGACCATGGCATGCCCATGTGTGACCTAACCAGACAGCACCAGATGAGAGGTACCTTTTCCGACTGTGTTGGCGCTCACCCCAGACTAACTGCTAAAAAGCCACAGAGCTGACCCCACCATGACCCATTTTCCAGACAGCAGAGACATCGACCCCTGATGGAGAACACTATGGCTGGACAAGCGGCCATGGCCAAACCCCTGGACTGACCTCAGAAGCTGCCTTTAACCTATTGTATTGGGATCCTTTGACTGAAGGGGACTTCAGTGAGAGCCACATCCATCAGACTTTGAGACTTGGTTATTTGCTCACAGTACAAATAGCTTGTTAGTCTTGGTGTTGTGGGTAAATCACTACATGTTAACTTTACTTTGGCTACTTATGAAGAAATTTCACAGACAATCAAGTTCTGAAACAATAGTTTAAACTTTATTACATGCAACAACCAAAATAACACCCTTCAAGTCAGCAGGTTGATCCCCATAATTCAACCTAGCTATGACCCATTTGATGGTGGAAATTAGTTATGAATCCACCAACATCCATCCCTGAAAATGTCCAGGTTTTGATCCTTGTGCAGTGTTGTTCTTTGAAGTTCTGTTGCTGAATTGTTCAACAGGTGTTGGATTCTTATACAACTTTCTCTCTTTCACATTTGTGGTCTGACATTATTGATGATTAAATAGATTCTTTCATCCCCAACATTGATTACTCTTGTCGACACCTCAAATCTGTGGCTTTCCTACTTGTCAGAATTGGTTCCCTGGTTGCCTGTTACATTCGGTGTTAGCTATCTATTTGAAACAGCCTTTACTCCAGGACATTCTTTTGTGGGCAGTTTTAATTGTCCATTTGTAATGAGGTAGCAGGTTGTCAAAAAGTGTTACCTATACTCTCCTAGAAACAACTTGTTGATGTTCCTTTGACTTCTTCTTTCCAGAGATGGCAAATGAGCATGTTGCTTTTAATTCCTTTATAGCAGTTTATCCTTGTCCTTTTCACCTAAGGAAGCAGTTTATTCCAAAAAGTGTTATTGCTGATTCTTTCATGCCATGAAGTTATTAAAGTTCTGAAGTTTACATTGTCACGTGTGTAAGCATTTGACAAGTCAAACTACAGAAGGGAGATAGAGGGCTTGGTGATGTGGTGAAATGAAAACAATCTGTCTCTCAACATCAGCAAAACTAAAGAACTGATCATTGACTTCAGAAAGAAGGGAGGAGAGCATGCCCCCATCTACATCAATGGAACTGAGGTTGAGAGAGTGAAGAGCATCAAGTTCCCCGGAGTGATGATAACCGATGACCTAATCTGGACTTTCCACAAAAATGCAACAGTCATGAGGGCACAACAACACCTCTTCTTCCTCAGGCGGCTCAGGAAATTTGGCATGTCCATGAGGTCCCTCACCAACATCTACAGATGCACCATTGAAAGCATACGGTCTGGGTGCATAATGGCCTGGTACGGCAACTGCTCTGCCCAGGACCATAAGAAACTACAGAGTGGTGTGCACAGCCCAGACCATTATGGAAGCCAACCTTCCATCCATGGACTCTATTTATACGGATCACTGCCATGGAAAGGTGGCCAACATCATCAAATATCCATCGCACCCTGGTAATGATCTCATACAACCTCTTCCATCAGGCAGAAGATACAGAAGCCTGAACACACACACAAGCAGGTTCAGGAACAGCTTCTTTCTGACCACTATCAGATTGTTGAATGGATTTGAGCCTCGAATAATGTAACCTGCAATGTAACCTGTATGCTTCTAAGTCTATTTGATTTGTACATCCTTTGATTACTGTGATCTGTCTGTACTGCTTGTAAACAAAGGTTTTCACTGTATTTTGGTACATGTGACAATAAATCAATCAATCAATAAATCAATCGAGCTGCTGGCACATAGCACAGGTGTGAGATTGATATAGCAATATGACGTACAGCAAGACATCTGCTCCCTTGATTGAGGATTGGTGACCAATAAGGCAAGCTGACCGGCTTTGTGACTGCGCTCAGAAACAAGGCAAGATAGGGAAAAGCAGGAATGCTGTCAGCATGTTGGTGGGCATGATGTAGGAGATTAAGCAAATAGCCCTGAGACACATCCTGGTCCACTGTACGAGCTAGGTGTCTGTACTTGTGCACACAGTGTCCTGCTGCAGCCTTTCAATGTTAGTTGCCAGTGTACCCCAAAGTGGAAATTTGAAGTGCAGAAGTGTCTTGCAAGTGGATGGGAAAGGTGCCATGAGGCTCCTGAGAGGATGTCAGGTGTGAGCTGCTAGTGCCCATGGATATGGGGTGCATGCGTGTGGCTACTGGCCTAGGGAGTGCCCTGAGACATTGCTGCCGAATGTCCAAGATGTTCGCTGAGGGAAGCAAGCAGGGAGCTGAAGTTGCTAATGCCCATTTGGACTTCCATATTGGGAACTGCTGATGTCAAAATTCCTAGCAGTGGCTGCTAGGCTAAGAAGCTGCATATTAATAAGGTTTCTTGTCAATAAGCAATAATCCTGTTTAAGAGGCATCTTGCCATACAATGAATGACGTAGTAACAATAATCTAATCGCAATGTGCAGAACCATTTTTGAAAATGCAACTGTTGCTCCTGATGTCAAGAATAGCCTCGCAAAACTTCTTACATAATTCTCCCATTTTTCTCGCCTTGTACCACATTGCCTCGACCCCTATTAGATTCCCCCATTACATTTTTGATATGTTTATATTAGACATTGTTCAGGATCTCATAGAAGTCCTTTTAAAATCAGTACCTAGTGTATGAAATCACATTGCTTCTATTGGTAAATAAATAATGACACCCTTTTGTTGCTTTACAGAATGTTATCTGGAGATTCAAGTTTTCACAGCTCAAAGGATCCTCTGATGATGGAAAAGCATGTGTGAAACTGCTTTTTCAGAATACTGATACCAGACAGATTGACATGAAGGTACCTATGTAACATAGCATACAATGATTTTAATTGGAATATCCACAATGCATGTGAATTTTTTGCTTAGAAGTTGTATTAAATGCCAATACTATAAATTCCACATGACATCAATAACATTGCAAATATCATTACAAATTCCAACCTATAGCTTACATTAGTTGAAATGCATCAGTCTGAAATATCATTTTCACTTTGACTTTATATTAGGTTTCAAAATTGCAGTTGCATATTGTTTCTTTTTAAAGATTATCCAATAGATTGACACTTTTAGTTCATATTTTGTCAGAATCCTAAGAAGACAACTTTGTAAATTAGTGTACAATTTTTTGCTGTGATAAAGTTTCAGAGCAAATCTGCACACAGACATATTTGTTTCTAGATATTTTCAGGGTTTTATTAAATTGTCTTATCTCTTGTTAGTTTGTGAGCAACCTTTGTTTCCTGTTTTCCAAAAGCTATACTTTATTATATGTTCTTCTCATGAAGGCACACACCTCAGGGCTCAACAATTATACTTTCTGCAGTGATCTGATTCCTACATTTTATTATGTGATATGCTGCGAAGCATTCTTGAAAATTACAACCATTAGCACAGGCTGACAAACTGAAGAAAATAGTGCTCAGAAACTAATAATGTATGCTAGTGATGCATGACAGTGTAAATGTGCAAATCGCCCAACAAATTAGGAGAAATAACAGATATGGGGTTGCATTTCCTTGTCCTGAAGTGGGCAGAGTGGCCGAAACAGGGAAGAGGGCAAAATCTTATCAGGCCTGCTTCACATCACTTTCCTGGACCCCAGGATTAGGCAGGACAACACAGATGGTAAGAATTGTTACACTGTCAATTGTAGATTTGGGGAGCCTGAGGGGTAGGAACCAATTAGACTCTTAAGAGAAGTCTCCAGATGCTGGCTAGATGTTTCAGATGGTACATTTTTGTAATTTAGCAATGGGATGTGGGCTTCGATGGCTGGTCCAGCGTATATTATTCATCCTTAGATGCTGTTGAGAAGGTAATGGTGAATTGTCTTCTTGATCCGCTGTAGTCCATTTTATTGTAGATACACAATGCTTTTAGGGATGGAGTTCCTGGATTTTGACTGAGTAAGCCTGAATGAATGGCAATATGTTTCCAGGTCAGAATTGTGAGCAGCTTGGAAGGAAACTTACAGGCAGTCCCATGTATCTGCTGCCCTTGTCCTTCTCAATGATAGATCCCATGGGTTGCCACCATTTAAGGAGCCTTGGTAAATTACTGCATGCAGAAAATGTCACATTAACAGACCATTAATGAAATGGTGGTGGCTTCCTAGCAGCAGATTGGGTGTAGAAAGGAGATAAAGACTCCATTCAATCTGGCAGGCACCACTCTTACTGTGGAAGGTTTTATACCTCGCAGGCAATAGCCATAACCCTTTGGTCCATATATTTACCTCTTTTGTCAATGATGAGGAGGTCCCGGTCTTGGACTGGGGTGGACAAGGTCAGAAATCACACAACACCAGGTTATAGTCCAACAGATTTATTTGAAAACACAGGCTTTCGGAGCCTCGCTCCGTCTCCAGGTATTAGTGGAAGAGTTTCTGACACTCCCTCTCTCAGAAACACCTGAAAGACTACAGCCTGATGTTCTGTCTTTTGCCAATGGAATGAAGGGGCCTCGTGCCTCCCTACATTCATCTTCAATGTCCACCCTGGAAGTTAGCATTATTGATCTTTAGGTAATGGACAGCATTTCTATTGGGCCTCCAGATTCTGGAGACCAACTGTTGCCCTTAGTCGGGCGGAGTTCTCAGATGCATCAATTAATTGCCCACGTCCTTCAAAATTAGCTTCTGGTTTCCAGTGCTGATGCTTGAGAATTCCAGATCTAGTTTTCATGCAGACATTGAGGATGTGGGTCCCATACAAAATGAGTTATAAATATCCTGAACTTGCTCATCAATTTACGCTGCTCTGCCATTTGGTTCGTGTAAGCAGTATTTCACTCTTGACCTTTAGACAAGTCTGGTAATTAAGAGTGTAGCTTTTTTTTTAAACAATGGAAACAATAAATGTTCAATCTCATTCTCGTATTTAATCTATTATTGTTAGAATATTCTTAAATGTGAATTTCTTTTTAAATCTTATCTTTCCTTTTTGGTCTTTCTTCCTCCCTTTCTCTGCCTGTTTTAACTTTTACCCACTTCCATTATTCCAGTTTCTTTCTCAATTATTAAATCTTATGAGTTAAGGAGATAAAACTGGTTCCATTATTAATTAACATTTTAGATGCATCAACTCCCTAAATGCCCAGCTATCATTCTCACACTTGCAACAAATTATCATGTAAGCATATTTGTGGTGAACAGTGGACAAATCATCTAATTATTGGTGCAGGCCATGGGATTGTCTAATCAAACAATACATACATGTTTATTTTTAACTAAGTAGTCATCTGAAGGCTGAGAAAATCATAAAATATAAAAATGCAGTGGACAGATACATACCCAAGCACTGGGACAATTTGTAATAAATTGTTTCTTTTCAATCATAATCCTTGAATGGAGAGCAATACACTTGAGAACCATTTTTTTTGGTTTCTGCCATTGTGAACTTGCTAGTGTTAAGCTTCTTTCAAATCATTCTACCTTAATATTGACATAGCGAACAGCAAGGTACTGGAACTGTTGGCAGGCTTAGAGGTGGACAAATTTCCAGGTCTGGATGAATTGTGTCCCAAGCTACTATGAGAGGCAAGGGAGGAGACTTCTAATTCCTCTCTAGCCACAGGGAATGTACCAGAGGACTGGAGAACAGCTAATGTGCTTCTGATATTTAAGAAGGATTGTAGAGATAAGTCAGAGAATTACAGACCAGTGACTCTCATGTCAGTGGTAGGGAAACTATTGGAGAAAATTCTGAAGGAGAGCATCTAATCTCCACTTGGAGAGGCAGATCCTGATCAGTGATAGTCAGCATAGCATTGTCAGAGGGAGGGCATGCCTCTCAAATTTGATAACATTTTTTGAGGAGGTGAATAGGTACATAGATGTTTGTAGTGGAGTTGATGTAGTTTATATGGATTTCAGCAAAGCTTTTGACAAGGTCCCACAGAGGATACTTATCAAGAGGGTAAATGCACATGAGATACAGGGTAACTTGATAAAGTGGATTCAAAATTTTCTCAGTTATAGAAGACACAGAGAGATGACAGAAGGCCGTGTCTTAGTGACTAGAAGCCAGCGTTCATTTGTGTCCCATACAGACCTGAGCTGGGTGCCCTATTATTTGTCAGTTATATAAATAACCTAGATTACTGTGTGGGGGTTCAGATTAATAAATTTGTGGATGATACAAAGATTGGTTGTGCAGTTAACAATGAGGTTGAGTGTCTTGGGCTACAAGAAGACACAAATGGGGTGGTCAAGTGGGCAGATGAAAATCAACCCTAAAAAGTGTGAGGTGATACACTTTGGAAGGAGTAATTTGACAAGAAAGTATTCAATAAATGGCATGACACCAGGTAGTTCTGTGCAACAAAGGGACATTAGCATGTTTGTCCAAGATCTCTGAAGGCAGAAAAGCATGTTAGTACAGTAGTGAAAAAGGCTTATGGGACACTAGCCTTTATCAGTTGAGGCATAGATTACAAAAACAGGGAGGTTATGATGGAATTGGTGAGACTACAGCTAGAGTAATATATGTAGTTCTGGTCGCCACATTACAGGAAGGATGTGTTTGACCGGAGGGGTGCAGAGGAGATTCAGCAGGATGCTGTCTGGGATAGAATATTTATGTGGTAAGGAAAGGTTGGATAGGCTTGGGTCATTTTTGTTGGAGTAGAGAAGTCTGAGGGGCAATCTGATTGAGGTGTGCAAGATTATGAGGGGCATGGATGGAGTGGATAAGGAGCAGCCCTTCCTCTCGGTTGAAGGATGAGTCATGAGGGGACACAAGTTCAAGGTGAGGCACAGGAGATTTCGGGAGGATGTGAGGAAAAACATTTTTATCCAGAGGTTGGTGACGGTCTGGAATGTGCTGCCTGGTAGCAATGAGTAGCCACACATCCTTTACAAATTATCTGGATGAGCACTTGGCACGTCATAACATTCAAGGCTATGTGCTAAGCGCTTGTAATTGAGATTAGGTTTTTTTCATGTGTCAATGCATACTCGATGGGCTGAAGGGCCTCTTGTTCACTGTATGATTCGATGATTCTTATATTTGTTATATATTTTAATGATGTGTTACATCTCTCAAACATGAATTAATAGCAAAACTTTGCATACGGCGAATTACCAGAGTTTGAAAGAATTTTTCTATAACCCACCTTCAGGAAAATTGACTGGGCTGGAGTTAGAGGTGTCATACCAGCAGACAATTAGTTGGCGCATAAGTTTTTCTCACCTGTTTTTCTTCTAACTCATTTCGAACTGAAACATTCCGGGCCAGGAGCACTGTGTGCAGTATTGTACATGGCTCTGCTGTTTTCATTTCCGGGTGAATGGCCTGTTGAGACTGGAAAAAGTCACATATGATTAATGACTACTCAGAAGAATAGCAGTGGCAGAGGGGGAAACTGGTGGAAAAATTTAGAAAAGCATACTTCTGCTTGAGAAGTTGGAAATTCATTCATCATTAGCTGCATACCATATTCATTTCAAGAAGAGTGAACATTAATAGATATATCCAGGGATGGAAAATTCACCTGCTAGCAGGCAACAAGCTTTGTTGAAAATATGCACTTCTTTCACAAATGAGCTTTGAGATAATGTCAAGAATGCTTCGCATATATTTTTTTAAACTATCGGCAGGGTTTGAATCGGTTTCGTTGTAAATGATAAACTAACCATTTGTGCTGATTAGCCTTTTCTAGTAATCATCAATAATTATATAATTTATTTCATTTGCCTCAGCTAATTTTGCAATAGCAATTTTTTATTCAAAGAAATATTGCAGAGAAAGTCATGAGTAAGCTTTTGAGAAGGAATACAACTTACTGAGTTTTGAAGTAGGTTAACATGATAATTGGTATTACATTTATGCAAATTGACTCAGGGTGTACGGCACAGGCATTTGCCATAATGACGAATAAATGCATGTTCTCTCATCTTCAACACAAAATTTCGGCCCTGGTAGGCATTCTGTATTCAGTGCAGAGTGTCACTTTTATCAGAACTAATGGACAGCTAAATGGGAATAGGAAACATGATAGGAAGGTAAGAGATTAACATTATCTTGAAGATTGAATATATTTAATGAGGGAATAGTTTGTTTTTCATTATCAGTTCACATGAGAAGTACTCAATTATTTCACTTGACTAGGCATTGCCATGTTGTAATATCACTAGATCAGAAGATTTATATAGATAAGTGAGACTCTTTGCTCATCAGTCCTGTGTAATTAAAAATTGTTGGTGAATTTCCCCTCAAAAGTGCCTGAGTTACACTTCTTGGGCACAAAGAAGAGGAAAATAGAATGGAGAACTGTGACACTGAGATTACCTGAACATTTCTCATTGTTTCAGGAATCTTGAGATATCCCAGGGGAGGGAGAGACTCTATTACCAGCAATAGATGTAGATTGAGGTACCAGTACATAGAATCCACCAGTTCCTAGGTTCTTTTTTTTGATATAACATACTTTATTTCCAAAGTGTACTGCAGTGTAAAGAGAAATATGTTGAAAAGAATATCCTACTTCGTTCTGTCTTTTGGTGTTTATTTCTGAACTATTTGTGATTTATATAAAGATTAAAAGCCCATAGTAAATATGTAAGATGTTGGGATCATTTTATGACGTTAGAAAGTGTTAATTTTTTTAATGTATTGCAATTTGATTTGTAATTTATCAAAGAACAGCTGGAACTAATCCAGTCTTCTGTGTAATTTTGGTAGAAGTTTTGGCATTGTTGGATTTATCATATAAGCCTTCAAACTGTGTTCCTTAAATTTTGAGTGTTAGACAGTTTCTGTAGGTAGCATTTGAACTTCTGAATCAGAAGGCTGTGGATTGAAAACGTGCCCTATGACTTAAGCACATATTACATATTGACACTCAGCACACAACTGAATAGGCAATGGGAGGGATGTGGGGACAGAACTACAGTGTTTGAGGTGCATTATTTGAATGTGACAATAGACCAAGGTCCTGTCTGCCTGTTTCAGCAAATGTAAAAGATCCTTTCATACAAGGTGAAGAAGAGCAAGAAGCTGTGGTAATATTCTAGCTAACATATTTCACTCAAGAACAGAAGCAGATTAAACGGCAAATCATCTCATTGGCTGTCAATAGAAACTTACTGTGTAAATTGAATACTGCATTTGTTTTTATACATCAACACCGATTATCCTTCAAAAGAAAATAATTAATTGGATGTGAAGTGCTTTGGCATGTCTATGGAATCAATAAAATGCTGCAGATCATTCATTCATGAAATAACCAAATTGTTGATGATTCTACTGATGGATTGGGCATTATCTAAATTATGTTGATTATGACAGAAAAGCTAGTATCTTCTTTATTTACAAAGCTTTATTTCTTTAAGAGACCAGCTACTGGCATGGCAAGGCTGGTTGGGAATTGTTTGTTTTATTATAAGCCATGCCTATTATCTAATAAAGCAATTTGTGTCTTGTTGCAGGAATTGGAGTTCCCTGATCTGACGGCAGTATTGCATTGTATACATTCATTCATAGCAGCTAAAGTAGCAGCAGTGGATCCGGTATTCGTAGACAGCCTAAGTGTTGCACGGAAGTACATGTATAGCAGTTGAAAATCAAATTTCAATCACAAGAAAATGTATTGTATTCTTTTATATAGAATAACATGCTTTGTGTCTATACTGCTGTGGGGTGCACAGTGGGTAATGGAACCCAAGCAACTCAAGGGTAGGGGGGATGATTTTGACTGCACCCAGAGTGTAAAGTGGGTGATGTAAAACCGACCTGAATAAAATGAAATGACACCCGGGAGAAATGTATAATGGACAAAGTCACAATCATCCCCATTGTGTTTTTAAATAGAGAGGGATTAAAGCATTTTTGAGAGATATCTACAAAGCAAATTTCTTTATAATGGAAGCGAAACCTGTCCTTGGTGTGTGCAGCACTGTTTTGTGTTTTATTTTCCTTCTCAGATGAAGTCTGCAGCCTCCCAGTGCCAGTTGCAAAAATGGAAATCTGAGCTTCAAACTTCATTGTACAATTCATAGCTCACGCTAAAGAAATATTCTGATGCAAAGTGTGTGCTTTTGCTTCTTGGAAATTCTTTATTTTTTCATTAGCAGCTGTGATTTTAATGTCATTCTTTTTCCTTCACAATCACGGTCAAGTGTTCATTCTCTTTGGTTTTGGGAATGATGAATTTAAACTTACTGGATTAGAATGAAGAGCAATCTTCTTGCTGAGAAGGTGGTGAATCTTTGGACCTATGGCATAATTTACTCAATTATTTAGCATGTTCAAGATAGAGGTCAGTAGAATCATTACAGTGTGGAAGTAGGCTATTCAATCCATTGAGTTGAGACTAACCTTTCAAAGCACACTCTACTCAGACCCATTCCCCCTTCCCTGTACTTTCTGTGGCTAATCCACCTAACCTGCACATCTTTGGACTGTGAGAGGAAACCTGCATAGACAGGGGGAGAACATATGGAGTTTGCACAGATAGTCACCCAAGGCTGGGATTGAACCTTTGTTTCTTTCATTGTGAGGTAGCAGTGCTAACCATTGAACCACCATACCACCCTAGGTTTCTGAATTCTAAAGACATCAAAGGACATGCTTTGAAGGGGATGATTAGGCACGTTCTAATTGAATGGCAGAACAGTCTTGATGACTTGAATGACCCACACTTCTGCGAAATAAAAGAAAGTTTGCTTAAAGTTTTGTAAATTTGAATTATATTAAGAACTTCTTTGTTTGCATTGTCAGTATGGGAACTGCTTACTCAAAGTATTGAGAAGATATCTTTTCATTTGATCAAGTAATTTTTTTTGGATGGAAAACATAGATATGTAAACAATTGTGGGGATTATAGCTTGTTGAGAGCTTACTCACTTCCTCCATTTTCTTATAAATACAATTTTGAATCACCCAAACAAATATGTTCCCCTTATTTATGATAAAAAATTGAACAGAATAAAAAAGAAGTTGGATATTGCTTGAAGTACTTCAATGATCCTCAAAGTCCAGTTAGTTTATGAGATTCACTGCACAGAACAATGACATAGTCCACCGACTGGCTCCAAGATTAATGGATGCCAGGTCTCAAGGGAAAAAATTGGGGAACTGGCTAGTTCAGCAGAACATGATGGGATTTATTTTTCTCCTTTTTGGAACAATTCAAAAGCTTATTAAAGCAGCACAGACATGAATTTAATAAAAATACATCAACCATTACATTCAACATTGGAACAGCCAGATAACTTCTATATTACTTAAAAAGATAATTTTAAACTTAATCCAAATCCTCAATGATCTGAGTGAGAAGATTGAGAGAATTTTATCTCGTATCATGAATTAGTTTCAGGAAACATGAGTACTGTGACAATGTATAAAAAGTTGACAGTTTTAATCTTTCACTATTGGCTTTAGTATGGGAAACTATGTATGGACTCAGCTGACTTGCTAAAAAAGGCTATTAAAGAAAAGAGTCTCCAAAAGACATGAAATTAATTATTCCAAACTTGTCATGTGCCATTGGTTTGCAAACATTATTTTCCTTATGCCAATGAAGGTTAAGTTTCATTCATCGATTAAGAATTGGCAAACAAGACAAATATAGACTTAAAGTAAATTAGATAATGTGCTGATATGTACTGATGATGACTAACAGTAATAAAGATGCCTAAAATGGATAAATACTTCCACTTTCCAGCATTGGTAAACCTTACCTTGAAGCAGAATAGAACTGAATTATTCTCCTTTATCTAACGTTCATCCATTCACGTTTGTTCAATTGATAGGTTGCATGGGAAGCAGAAGTTCACATGATTCCTCCTTCCAACCATAATTTGACACACTTGGACACAATACCTTGCACTAGGTAAAAGACTAGTAGATCCAAGTTCCATCATATTCCACCCTTCCCACCTCAAGGAATATTGGGGCTTTATCTTTTAACTAACATTTACTAAAGTAGACTACATAAAAGTTTCAAAATTTGCTGACTTCGTTTTATTTGAAACAGAATCACAATAGTGAAAATAATAATCTTTATAAATGAATGTTAGTGTGTCATTGTTAAAGGAGACTTGTACATTATAAAACATCTTTCACCGACTAGGTGCCTGAACTGATCTCCCAGCAATAGATGTTGCATTGTACTCAAGTAGTTTAATTTATAATATTAGAAATTTTATAAATTTAAATCATAACAGAAGTACACATGTTCCTATTCCTGTTTCTTCTCATTTTTGTGACTAAACAGTGCCAGATTTTTGATGCAAAGTGAAACAGGCATCATCAATAATTTTCATAGACTATCGAATTTACAGTATTATCAATTATCAGGATTTTCAAAACTATTAAGCATATAAGGAATTGAGTCCAAGATTTTCTTCAAAGTTGCTCATGCTGGATAGAGAGTTTTTGCTGGGTAGTACATGGTGCTTTTGTCATATTTACATGAGCACTGTATTCAGTCATTCGTCGGTCTTAATCCTCACTAAAAGTGAATATCACGTGTAGACTTTGCAAACTTACACTTGCAATGTGGCATGTGATTGGATTAATGTTTAATATGTTTAGAATTCTTCTCTCTGCTCCTTTATTGAAAGATTAAACCTGTTTAACATGATTGATTTGGTGCTTTTGTTCAAATAACTGAAATATTAATTGATAAACATAAATGTGATAAAAATGCAGATCGGGATTTTCCAATGGCCAGACAGTCGTTGTTCCAGTATAGTTGGGAGTTGTGTGTGGGGACACTGTGCAATCCCTGTCATAGCACATGCTGAAAGAATTGCCTGGGAAATTGAAGATTCTGCGGTGCAATTCCTCTATGCCTGGAACCCTCCAAAAGTCTCTGTTTAAATCAGACAGTCAGTTTATTTTGATGAAATTAAGTTAATGATTACTCAGGAAAAGTTAGATTATTGGATACATAGTCTAACACTTGAGTAACTATTCAACTGACCCCATACTTAGCTCACACACTCTCGACTACAAATTGCCAGGCACCCACCACCACCCATTCCCCCCTCCCGGGGACCCAAACTACTCTGACTCGTTCCAGACCCAACGCCCCCTCCCTCTCCCCGCCTGCTGTAAATGCTGCACCAGTTAACTGACCCACTCAATAACTTGCACCCTGGCACTGTACACCTATGCAGTTGGCAGTCTACTCAGCTAGCATCCTACTTATCTGGCACCCTACCCACCATCCTAATCCTGACCTACTTAACAGCTTAAACACCTAGAACCCTATTACCTGGCACACGACTCTCTACTCATCTGGTAACTTGCTTTCCTGGAATCCTGCCCAGCTGGCATCCTGCACACCCCTTGATATCAAGGCTGCATTCGACCGGGTGTGGCACCAAGGAGACCTGGCAAAATTAGAATCAATGGGTATCAGGGGGCAAACGCTCCAGTGGTTGGATTCATACCTGACACATAGGAAGATGGTCGTGGTTGTGGGAGGTCAATCATCTCCGTTCCAGGATATCTCTGCAGGAGTTCCTTAGGGTAGTGTCCTAGGCCCAACCATCTTCAGCTGCTTCATCACTGACCTTGCCTCCATCATAAGGTCAGAAGTGGGGATGTTCGCCAATGATTGCACAATGTTCAGCACCATTCGTGACTCCTCAGATACTGAAGCAGTCCATGTTCAAATGCAACAAGATGTGGACAATATCCCAGCTTGGGCTAACAAGTGGCAATGAACATTCATGCCACACAAATGCCAGGCTATGACCATCACCAATAAGAGGCAATCTAACCACCGCCCCTTGACATTCAATGGTGTTACCATCACTGAATCCCCCACTATCAACATCCTGGGGGTTACCATTGGCCAGAAACTCAACTGGACTCACCACATTAACACAGTGGCTACAAGACCAGGCCAGAAGCTTGGAATACTGAGGTGAGTAACTCACCTCCTGACTCCTCAAAGCCTGTCCACCATCTACAAGGCACAAGTCAGGAGTGTGATGGAATACTCCCCACTTGCCTGGATGAGTGCAACCCCAACAACACTCAAGAAGCTTGATACTATCCAGGACAAAGCAGCCCACTTGATTGGTACTACATCCACAAGCATTCGCTCCCTCCACCACTGACGCTCAGTAACAGCAGGGTGTACTATCTACAAGATGCACTGCAGAAATTCACCAAAGATCCTCAGACAGCACCTTCCAAACCCACAACCACTTCTATCTAGAAGGACAAGGGCAGCAGATATATGGGAACACCACCACCTCCACGTTCCCCTCCAAGTCACTCACCATCCTGACTTGGAAATATATCGCCGTTCCTTCACTGTCGCTGGATCAAAATCCTGGAATTCCCTCCCTAATAGCCTTGTCGTTCAACTCACAGCAGGAGGACTGCAGTGGTTCATGAAGGCAGCTCACCACCACCTTCTCAAGGGCAACTAGGGATGGGCAAGAAATGCTGGCCAGCCAGCGACGCCCACATCCCACTAATGAATAAAACAAAACCCTAACCTCATATTTGACTCATGTATTTACTGTTTGACTGCAGCTGCCAGAGTGGATGTTTGTCATTCTGGATCTTTAAATGTCAGAAATTGGCTGTCGACAGA